GTATCCGTATCCTACTTTTTTTGGTTTTGATGCATCCCCGTACCCGTTTCCGCGTTTCTGCGTACCGGTATCTGTGCTACATAGAATTAAACTTATCAAGCTTAGCTTTCTGCGGTCACTTGCTGAGAGCGGTCCATATATTGTAGATGATCATTCTAACTACTTCTACATATAATTTTTTCTCTATTTAATAAATAAAATATATTTTAAAAATAAAATTTGCAGACCAGCTCCTAGACGGGCTACAATTATGTCCATGGCCCATGGGTGCCGATACGTGATCCCCAAGAATACGTGATCCTCAATTTTTAAGAGGTCACCACCGTTATACATTCTGGTTATTATTATCACCATCATTATTATTCGACTTTAATGATCAGAATTAGTAAAAGTGATTGAACTCAGATTAATATGCCCTGAAACCTTTGCTGCGCAAACCGAAGCCTAAAATCACAACCCAAATTAAAGATCAGAATACTATCCGGCACCAGACGAAGGTAAGCACTTCAATTCCTCTGTCACTTTCTAACTCTCTTTGTTCTGGTACTGATCGTCCATATCATATGAAGTGATTTTAAGTTTTAAATCCCATGTATTTGTGACAGAGAGTAGTTTATTTAGGGTTTTGAACTGAGGAAAAACTGATGGCAATGGAAAAGCCTTCAAATCATCAAATTTCTACAGACATCCTGACCAAAGGGGCTCTTTCAAATCCAGAAATTCCCGAACATGTCATCATCCAAAACGTCCTCCTCAAGCTTCCTGTAAAGGATTTGCTGCAGTTGAAGATCATTTCCAAAGTTTGGTACGATCTGATCAGCGGTCCTGATTTGACCCGGCTATACAACTCGCATTCTCTTGCCAGTGGGATCTTAATGTTAATTTATGACCTTGAACACTGTCCTCATCTTTTCATCGAGAACGCGGAAGGAGATGCAATTTCGACGAAAATCTATCTCCGGAGTACGGACAATGTTTTCTCAAACATTTTCCGCGGCCTTATATGTTTCTACAGCGCGACTGAGAACCAAGCATTTGTGCTCAACCTCACCACACATGAGACGATACCCCTCCCTCGTCTTCGATACCAAAGAAGATCCCTGCTGGGTTTGGGGTTTGATCACGTCGCTAACAAGTATAAGGTTGTCTATTTTGATAGTGCACAATGCAGGATTCTCACATTGGGACCGGGAATGAGAAGAAAGAATTCTTGGGGGACTGTCCCGAGTAAAGGACTGCTGCCTTCAATCCGAGGGAATTGGAATGTAGACAAACTAGATTCAGACAGCCTGATTCATATTCAAGGGCGGTTGTATTGGATAGCGACAAAGACACGCGTAATTTGTTATTTCGATCTGAACGAGGAAAGGTTTGGGACTATTCCAGTTCCTCAGGAGGTTCAACAGCTCAAATGGAGCGGTAGGATTACCGAATACTACGGGAAGTTGGGAATCGTACAGTTATCCAAATTACATGGGGAGCTATGTTTGAAGTTTTGGATATATGATGGCGGGGGTGAGGCTGCGGTTGTTTGGACAGAGGAGAGTTTGGAGCTGAAGATGAGACGGGAACTTGTAATCACGAATGCACTTTGTGGAAGTGAAATCATTTTAGGGACCATGCCTAGCCTCGGCAATTCAGTTACTGATTCGTGGACTCGGAGGAGATTCATACCCAAACTCCTCGTCTGCCATAAGACGGGAGAGTGTGAGCATATTCCAACTGATGATCCTGATTATAGCTTCCCAGCCTTTTTGGGAGTTGTGGATTTAAACTTTGCTTCTTTTGGATCTTTGTTTTTCTGCACATAACTAATTATGTGATTATTAATACTTCGCCTCCTAAGCTTTAGTTAGTATCCTTGAATCAGTTTTATCTGTCTAGCAACCAGCTTTTCCTTAAGAAGGAAAATTTTTGTAGGCCCTCAAGTAAAATCATTCAAATTAATAGTCAAGAATCAAAAGTGAAAATAATATTCAAATTAAAATAAATCATTCTACCAATTATTAATTACTTTTCCTAACCAATGTACTTTGTTGTGGTTTTATTGCTCTCTACCATTTGCTATACTATTGACGAGGAGTACAACTTTTGCAGTAGCCACAACTTTTGTGCTTTGTTTTTTTTTATGTGGAGTATCACATAAAATGTTTAAAATTGGAATGCAATTTTTTGTTAGACTGGTCTAGTTTGGTTCATTTGAAATTAATCATGTTTAATAAGTGTCTCTTAATGTGTATTTGACTATAATTTTCTTTTATTCTGGTAATTTGAAATAAAAAGCAAAATGTGTATTTAGGGGGTGCGGATCAGCGAGTCGAGGTCGAGTCCGAGTTGGGTTTCAGTCGAATCAAACTATTTATGACTTAATTATCGAAATATTTATGACTTGGTTCAAATTGAGTCCGAGTTGTATTGGAGATTTATCTATTCTAAAGAAATGATATACGGAGTACTTTTAAACAAAAAGTTTTATTTGTTTTACGTTTAAACACACATGTACAATCACCAATAATTTTTTAACATAGTTTTCTTTAGATAGTAGGACTCTTTTTGCCGTGCCTATGGTTTATCTAAATCTCAGATGAACGTAGTTCAATTAGTTTTTCATTCTTCTTGAGCGTTACCCGAGAATGCCTATTTATCGCATAACACTTTTAGAACATTTTTTAAAAGAGTAAAATAATAAAAATACCCCAAATTTTGAAGAGCGTGAGGTAAACACTCCGAAATTGCATATGTAATTTAAATACCCCAAATTTTATATAAAAAGTTATTTTCACACCATTGTCATGGATTATTTCTAGACCTGCACAAAACCGGGTCAGGCCACCTGGCCTGCCCAACCGGCCCGCACAAATGGGTGGGCTTGGACATGTATATATTTACCCACCGGCCCAGCCCCGGCCTGCAATAACATATGGGCGAGCTTGGGTTAGGGTGTAGGCCCGTTCGGGCTGATAAGCCCGGCCCGCTACATTTAGTGTACACACACACTTTTATTTATTTATTTATTTATTTATTTATTTATTTATTTATTTATTTATTTATTTATTTATTTATTTATTTATTTATTTATTTATTTATTTATTTATTTATTTATTTATTTATTTATTTATTTATTTATTTATTTATTTATTTATTTATTTATTTATTTACATGTACACATGTTTATTTATATTTATTAATTTATCTTTATACATATTTATAGTTTATTATGCTTAAATTTAAGTTTTTAGTTCCTAACAACTAGCCAGACTAATATAATATCTATTTTTGTACTTAAAGATAATACTATGTGCTTGAATTTTAAATATAGTTTCTCATTATTATTTTTTGTAAGTATTATTTTTGTATGTGGTGAAAGGCCTATAAACATTATAAGCGTATTAACAATTTTTTAAAAGTTGTAATATTTCTTTAAAGTATTAAAAAATTATATAATTTTGAAAATGTTAAAACTTTCCGGGCCGGACGACCCGGCGGACTACCTGGCCCGCTCTTACAGGCAGGTATGGACATGGGGTTAGGCCCATTTTCGCGGGCCGGACCGAGCCCGCCTATACAGGATGTCATGATGATCAAGAAATTATAAAAAGCCCGACTTGAGCCCGACCAAAACCCATTTTTGGGCAGGTCTAATTATTTTTTTCAAAAATATAAATTCATAGGGTTAATCGCATTTCATTTTAGGTGAAAATCAAATCGTTTGAACCCAAATTTTTGTGTTCCTTCACTTATCAGCAATAAACCGACCAAAATTGATCCAGAACAAAATCGAAATCGACTACAACTGACCAAACCCTTGGCGATTCAGTTTACTATTATACTCGTATATGGCAAATTATACCGTGGGATCATCCCACAGTGAGCATGGTGCTCCCGATTCCAAACGGTGTCGTTTGATTATTAAAAATGACCGACTTTCTTCAGATTTGCAGATTCGTGCCCTATCAGATTCAGATTTAGCTAAACCACACAATTAGATCGCTTCTCCTCTTCCCTTCATTGCTGGAATCGCTACCAGAAAGGAGTTCAACTCACTACACCAAACTGAGTCACCTCCCATGGCGAAGTTGATTCTTGAAGATGGGAGCTACAACAATTTCCCTTCCCCATCAAAGCCTCCAATCTCCTTCAGGACCCCACGGTTCTCATCTGCAACTCCGACGACGTTTCCGCCATCAGCACCGACGAGGAGCTCCAGCCCGGTCACCTCTATTTTGCTCCCTTGCTGGCCCGTTTCAAGTGCTCCGTAGTGCTCTGTTTTTTTTTTTAAGAATGCTCTCTGATTCTCTTTTTTTGGGCAGCCCTGCTAGTTTCTTGAAAAGTAGATTTGGGTTAAAAAGTTACATTTTTGTTAAAAATATTTACATTTCTAATGGTATGAAGTTACATATTCATTTGTGTGAGTTACATATACATATTTTTATGCTTAAGTTACATTATTTTATAAGCGAGTTACATCTTCTAAAGCGCAAGTTACATTTGTCATCAACGCGAGTTACACTTGTAATAACATGAGTTACACAAATAAATCATGTATTGAGTTACATGAAACAAAAAATTTGATTTTTTAAAATCCTTGTGATGGTCATGATATTAAAAACAAAACATATTCACAATTTATGTAAAGTAATTGTGTAGTTACTCTTTTTTTTCATTGTTTACATTGAAATCAATGTTTCATCTCTTAGGCATCCTATTGGATAAATTACATTTCAACTGACCTACAGTTACATTTCTTATCAACGTGAGTTACACTTTTTTACACGCGAGTTACATCACGATATTACTGGGACAAAAAATAAAAAATTAAAACCTACTTTTCACGCGTGTTACTGTTCACGCGTGAATTTTTTTAATTAAAAGTTGTGCAAAACTACATCGTTTTAAGAGCAGGAGTATGGTCCTCATCGTGGGATGATACCAGGGTATAGCGCCTCCTCGTATATAGATAGAAGATTATCAATATTATTTGACTTTAATACTCCGTAGTAAAAGGGATCGGAGCATGTGAATTAACTTTCCTTTTCAAGTCTGAATTAATTTAGAAGTATAGACAGTATTATATATATATATTGCTTAAAAGGAATTGAAGTCAGATTAATACCCTGAAACCTTTGCTGCACAAACCCCCAAATCGAAACCTAAAATCACACCCTAAGGTAAGCACTCTTAGTTCTGGTAAGATTAATGATCAGAATTATCCGGCGCTAGACGAAGGTAAGCACTTCCTCTATTAATTTTTCACTCTTTGTTCTGGTAGGAGTCAAACTTTTTCCTTATCGTCCATATCATATGAAGTGATTTTAAGTTTTAAATCCCATGCATTTCTGACAGGGAGCAGTTTATTTAGGGTTTTGATTTGAGGAAAAACTGATAGGCAATGGAAAAGCTTTCAAATCATCAAATTTCAACAGTCATCCTGACCAAAGGGGCTCTTACAAACCCAGAAATTCCCGAACATGTCATCATCCAAAACATCCTCCTCAAGCTTCCTGTAAAATTCTTGCTGCAGTTGAAGAGCGTTTCCAAAGTTTGGTACAATCTGATCGGCAGTCCTGATTTCATCAGGCAATACAACTCTTATTCTCTTGCCAAGGCCAATGGGGGGCGCTTAATGTTATTTTATGACCCTCATTACTATCATCTTTTCATCAAGAACATGGAAGGAGATGTTCTTTGGAAAATCTATCTCCGGAGTATGGACAATGTTTTCTCAAACATTTTCCGCGGCCTTATATGTTTCTACAACGCGACCGAGAACCAAGCGGTTGTGCTCAACCTCACCACACATGAGACGATAACTCTCCCTCGTCTTCGATATCAAAGAAGATCCCTGCTGCGTTTGGGGTTTGATCACATTGCTAAAAAGTATAAGGTTGTCTATTTTGATAGTGCACAATGCAGGATTCTCACATTGGGAGCGGGAATAAAAGGAAAGAACTCTTGGAGGACGGTCCCGAGTAAAGGACTACTGCCTTCAATCCGAGGGAATTGGAATGTAGATAAAGTTGAATCAGACAGCCTGATTCATATTGACGGATGGTTGTATTGGATAGCGACAAAAACACACAAAATTTGTTATTTGGATCTGAATGAGGAAAGGTTTGGGACTATTCCACTTCCACAGGAGGTTCAACATCTCAAATGGAGCGGTAGGATTACAGAATACAAAGGGAAGTTGGGAATCGTACGGGTACCTAAAAATGGGGAGCTAAGTTTGGAGTTATGGATATATGATGGCGAGGGTGAGGGCCGTGAGGCTGCTGTTGTTTGGACAGTGGAGAGTTTAGAGCTGAAGATAGGACGCGATTTTGTAATCACGAATGCACTTTGTGGAAGTGAAATCATTTTGGAGATCACACCTGACCTCAGCAATTCAGTTATTGATTCGGGGAGTCGTAGGAGATTCATACCCCAACTCCTCCTCTGCAATAAGACGGGAGAGTGTGAACAAATTCCAACTGCTCTTGGTACATTTGTTAGCATCCCAGCCCTTTTAGGAGTTGTGGATTTTAACTTTGCTTCTTTTGCAAATTTGTTTTTCTGCGCATAACTTATTTTGAGGTTATTACTACTTAACAAAGCTCTTTAGCACATAAACTTTGCTTCCTTAATAAAGAAAGATCGAGTTCGAGTTGAATTTAAGTCTAGTCAAAAAAATTATTACTTGGTTTGAGTCGAGTCCGAGTTCGGGACGGATTTGGGTTGTATTCAAGCTATTCTAAACAAAAGTTGTACTTTTAACAAAAAGTTTGATTTGTTATATGTTTAGACATGCATGTGCAATCATCAATATTTTTTTAACATATAAACATTGTTTTCAAAAAAATTCGCCTATTTATCTCTTAGATATTTGATTCTTTTTACCGTCTATGAGTTATTTAAACCTAAGATGAACCAAGTTCAATTACCGCTTCATTCTGCTTGAGGGTTACTTGAGAATGCCTATTTTTTTGCATAATACTTTTAGAACATTTTTTAACACATTATGTAATATATGTGAATCTAATATTTTTTTAGTAGAAGATAAGTACTCCGTATAATTTTTATGCATGGTCCATACCATGATTATATTGAACATAAGAAAAGTTCCCGAAATAAGACTAAACAAGTTTTAAAATTTCAAAATAGGTATGTCATGTTTTATTCTCAAAATAGGAGTAATTACTATCAAATTTGGAAAATTCTGCCATGTTTGAAGTATGGTACTGCCAAAACATGACACTAATTAGTCTTATTTTGGGAATAAAAACATGACAGCCTATTTTGGAATTTTCAAACGTTTTTACTTCTATTTCGGGTAATATTCTCTTAAACATATAATGCAATATTATATGTATAGATTTAAAATAGGGATAATTTGAGTTTGCACCCCATTTTATTGTCCAAATTGGACTTTGCACCCCTTTTTTAAAAATCTTTGTTTTTGCACCCCAACCCCATATGGAAAGACAAAAATGTCTCCATTAATAATTGTGTTGGCATTCAACATGATTGATGACATTTTTCTCTTTTCATGTGCGGTTGAGTGCAAAAACAAAGATTTTTAAAAACGGAATGCAAAGTCCAATTTGAAAATAATATGAGGTGCAAAGTCAAATTACCCTTAAAATAAGCAACACTAACTCATACTCGGCCACTCGGGTAAAAACTAAAAACGCTAACTCATAAGCAAGTAGCTTGCAAGCTTTACGAGTTGAGTATATAACTTAATTAAAGCTTGACTTAGATTGGTTAGAGTCCAGTTTGAAAACAAGTCGAATTTGGATCGAATCGCACTATTTTTGAGTAAGCAAAGTCCAAAACTAATAAGCATAATAGTGCATGGCAGCATGCAATCAAAGGAAAAGAAAAACAATGTGAGAGGAAAATGTAGGCGGGTGAAATACTTTACAAATAGCTAATCAATGATATTGTTCATACAACCATGTAACTTCTACACAAGCTAAACTATCTATTTTGCACCAAAAAAAAAAACAAAAAACAAATTTAAACCAGAGATTAAGACCCTGTTTGGTAGCATTTATCAAGTTCTGAAATTTTTGACAACAAGTTTTCCTTAAAAATGGAATAAACAGAGACACATTCACATATTTGAGAAGCCAAACCATCCAAATCCAGAAATTATAACCTTTGCTCAAACAGGCTTCAAGTCTCTGAAGTAATTCTCAAAGCCTTGTTCTTGAACCTATACCTAGGAGCTCTGGGAATGACCTGGCTCGGCCCGAAATGAAACTGACCCGGGCCGTCAGTCATGGGCGGGCCGTCGTCGTAGACATGGCCGACGAGCATCCCGCAGCCAACGCACTTGATCCTGGTCCGCTTCCTCTGGATGCCCCAGTAATCCAGGGTCTCGAAGAAGGGTTTGATCTTATCCTCCTTCTCGAAGCTGAATTTGGACGGATCGACGGCGGAGAAGGAGAGGGTGCCTTTGTTTCCGGCCTCAAAGTAGAAATCCGGTGGGAAGAGCTGAGCTGTGTGGAGGTTGAGATTGGTTTCGCACTCTTTGCAGCAGTAGATGGACGCCATGGACGGTGGTGAGGGTTGATTCGGGAGCGCCAATTTGGGGTTTTATTATGCAGAGAAGACGAGAGAGAATGTGGGTTTCGGGTCAACCGTTTAGAATCGGAACTCCAAAGCCGTGTTTTCGCGAAGCGCTGACCATTCGTCGTAATTCAAAAGGACATCGACCATTTCATTTCATTCACACGAAAGTTGTAATTATGGAGTCTTTCGTCTAAATTTGGTTGCATTTTAAAAAAAAAAAAATACAAAAGAAATAATAAATAATAAATAAATAAATAAATAAGGAAAAACATAAGATTACTTGTGACCGTGTTCAACGTAAATGTTGTTTCCTTAAGACGCTTTTGTCCGACACACGTAGCAAGCGTATCCCATGATAGAACGATTCTTCGCTTCGAATGGGATTCCGGCAAACTCAAAGATGCAATGAAGAAAGAGAGAATATGAAGAACTATGTGATGATTTTCGGATTGATTAAAAATGCATGCAATTCAAGCATGGGTATATATAGAGTTTGGGCAGGAAACTCTACACCCAAAGGACAGCTTTAGAAAGAAAGGCCGTGACCCTCCTAAAAATAAAGGATGTGTCTTTTGCCAAACATTATCCAAAATTGAGAGTGGCTATTAGAATCATCTTTAAGCCATATACTCGGGTGGACGTTTTAAGACTCTAACCCGAGACCTGACCCGACCGACTGGACGGCGGCGACGGTTTTTCCGTGTGAGATATAATTTCACAATTATCTTTCGGGAAACAATTTCTCATTCATCTCAAAATGGTTTTTTAAAAATAATATTAATGACCATAATATTAATTTGTAAAACCATTTTTCCAACAATTTATACTAGTAAAATATAGTCATTTAATTATTTTTATTAAAATTTAGTAAAGGTTGGGAGGTGCTTTGACCAAAACCAGAAGAAATAACAACTGGGAGCAACAACCTTTAACTCAATATCAGGTATGTGCTCAGCGTTACATAGCCATTAGCTAGATTATCTATATGATAACTTGATAAGAAATCTTTAAAGTGTATTTGGAAAACCTCCCAGCAGAGTGATGCAGCTGCTCTTAACCTGGGACCGGTTCGGTTTCTAGGCAAAATATGTGGAACCGCTTTAAAATATGAAATTTTACTAACAATTTGATTCTTATAAATTATTTTATAGAACCGATAAGGAACCGAACTGTTAAGAATGGTTCGATTCTTGTGATTTAACGGTGCCCGTATAATCATTCCAGTCTAAGAGCATCTACATTTGATGATCTTCAACTTTACGGTTTTTCATAACTTTATTAAAAAAAAGCAACTAGGTCCTTAAGTGATGAAGGCAGAGTGAGAGACAACCGTTCAAGCCGCGTCTGGAGGGAAGAATCAGGGAAACTAAAGTCCAACATTATCATCCATAAGTCCCACATACCTGCCCTTCGTGTCATCATCTATATTGTTTTACTCCCTCCGTTCCCAAAAATACTTCCCACTTTCCTTTTTGGGCCGTTCCCAAAAATTCTTCCCACTTTCCCTTTTTGGACAATTTGTGTGGCTCACATTCATTTTACCTTTTTCTCACACAACCACAACCACACAATTCCACTTTATTCCACTTTCTTAATAGGCGTGCCAAGTCAAACCGGGAAGAATTTTTAGGAACGGAGGGAGTATTTTTTTTTTACTTTTCACCAATTATGGTCAATCTCGTATATTAAAGTCACGATCCTTTTTTTTTTTTTTTTTTTTTTACAGAAAGTCACCAGTGGCGGACCCACTAAGGGTCCCATGGGGTCCTGGGACCCGTGTACCTTCAAAAAAATTACTATATACTCTCTTCGTCCCAAAATTAACTTCCCACTTTCCTTTTCGTGTAGTCCCGAAATTAACTTCACACTTCAAAACTTTTCTTGTTTGGCAAATAATCTACATAAAAAAAGTGCCAAATAGTGGCAAACAGTGTCAAACAGTGTTTAAACAGTGCAAAACAGTGTTTAAACAGTGCACTCCACAGTAAAGTCAAATTTATTTTCTTAATTTGTGTGAAGTCAAACTGAGAAGTTCATTATGGGACGGAGGGAGTATATATTATACTACCTCCGTCCCGCTAGGTTCCCATAACAAAATGACACGGTCATTTAGGTGATAATAAAATAAAGTACTTCAGGTATATTTTGAGAAATAATTTTAATAGGTATATATTATAATGTGTTAATATTGATAACTGTGATGTTATAAATGAATTATTTTTAATATTTAATGACTAATTTGTCACTTAAGATTGTTAATTGTTTCCTGAAAATGGGAACCTTCTAATGGGATGTTCAAAAAGGGAAAGTGGGAACCTTCTAACGGGACACTGGACCAGACTGGGCCGATACAAAGAATATTTTCGAGAAAAATTTTACACAGAATTTTTACACTAACAATTTAGAAATTTTTAAAATTTAGGCTGGGCAAGGGCAAGGTTGGCTCTCCCCTAGCTTTGCCCATGCGGGAGCAACGACCTTTATGATAACAAATCTTTAAAGCTGCTCTTAATACTTGCGTAATATCTAGGACTGTAGCCATGCGCTTTTAATAGCACACTTCCAGATCCGATAATTTATTTTGCAATTGTTAATGTGATTTGATATAGGTTGTATAATGAATAAAGTAAGAGTGGTTATACCTTTGTTAAATTACTAATGATGTTAATGTTGAAATTGAAAACTGAAACCACCTATTGTGCTTTAAACAATTATGCTTTTAGAGTTTTGGTTAATTAGAAACAAACAGAAATCAGTAAGCAAATTATGACATTGAATGAGCCCAAAAATGAAGGTAGTTACGCCATGACTTAAAACACCGTCGTAAAAATGAATAAAACGCAATTGCAAAGAAAAGGTCCGTTTTCCTAGTAAAAAACCCAAATAGGGTCTCAATAAGGTCTAAATCTCTAGCTTTCTTAGGATTATAGAGGACAACATAGATACTTCTAAACTCATATCACATCAAGCTTTTCAACTAGTTTAGTGTTAATTTGAGTGAACGAAGTATTGATTTTTTACGGACTCAATAATAGAATTAGTTTCTTTCAATATCTTAAATTATGATTGCTCATAATTATTTTTGCTCAGCATGTCTTCAACCTTGTTCACCTCAAAATCTAGGATGCCTCCTAAGTCCTAATATGTACTACAAACCAGCTGTATATTTCAATTGTGGATTAAGGCTCCTATGAGTTTGGCCAGAGAAAGTGGGCGGAAATTATATGGCCGTCAACGATGAAAAGTAAGTGAATCTGAAACATTGATATGCTAAATGTAATCGTTTGAAGGGATTAAATAAATTGTTGGAATTAGAATAATGGTATTGCAATTTCATTAATTTTCAAAAATCAATTTTTTTTATTTATAAATAGGGATGCAGTGTTTTGATGTTTTCATTTAATATTTTGCTATATGCAGGAGGTTGTGGATTCTTTGCTTGGAAAGAAGAAACTGAAACTACCTAACATAAAATTTTAGAGTTAGCCTACTAGGAGGTGAAAATGCATCTTTTTGAATTACAAGAGCAAACTATCGGTGTTCATCGCGAAGTAAGTGAGTTAAATAAGAGTTGCACTCAAAGCTGAAATTGAAGAAAGGAGGAGTTTTAGATCAATAACTACATTTGTAATAGTAATTTTGTGGTGGTAATGGCTATGTTAGGTTCGTCTCTGCAACACAAGGACGTAAATAATGATGTATTTGTTGGGATTGAAAAATTCTTCTATTCAATATCAAGAATAGAATTAAAACAAGACACTTCTACTCTAAGTGTATTTCACACTTCACACACTTTTCTCACTTTCTAAAACTGATGATAATGAACAACATGGAGCACTCTATTTATAGGCTACTTTGGAGACAAGAGGAAGTTGCATCCAAGCTTCCTAATTATCTCATATCTTCTCCCATGCCTATTTGTTGGAGAGTTCCTTCCATGAAGGTGTAAGATGTCTCTTGGCAACTTCCAAGAAAGAAGGTGGAAACTCCTGCGATGCTCGCTGGCTCCCCCTCGCTGACAAGTATCCATTCGGATGTGGAATACTTTCTCTGTGGAACTATGCCTAGCATAGAACGTCGAACATGAGTACCTTCAACTTCATCTTCAGATGAAGGCTCCCCCCGCTGAGGAATATCATCACTGTGAGCATCATCATCACCTATTGAACCATCACTCTCATGTTCAGTAGTATCATACATCTCCTAGTCGTTGAGAGGAATGTTTGATGATACAGGCACTTCGTCTTCTGGAGTATGTTGTTGGCGGATTATTGGAGCACACCCATGAAACTCGTTTTCATGAAATACAACATCTCTGCTTTGTACAACTTTCTTCACTTTGGGTTCCCACAACCAGTATCCGAATTCTTCATATCCATAGTCGATGAAGATGCATGGGTTTGACTTGAGATCAAGCTTCTGTCTCAACTCCTTGGACACATGCGCAAATGACTTGCACCCGAACACTTTCAAGTGAGAGTAAGAAACATCTCTTCCTGACCATTTCTTTTCTGGCACTTCAAAGTTTAAAGGAACAGAAGGTGACCTGTTTATAAGATAACAAGCCATCAGCACAGCTTCACCCCAGAATGGCTTAGGTAGTTTAGCCATACTCATCATGCAACGAACTTTCTCCATAATGGTCTGATTCATTCTTTTGGCTACACCATTGTGTTGCGGAGTTCGTGGAATCGTCTTCTCATGTCTGATTACATATGCGGCACAATATGCTGAGAACTCTCGAGAAGTGTACTCTCCTCCATTGTCTGAACGTAGACACTTCAGCTTCTTCCCTGTTTCTCTTTCTACCATGGCATGAAATAGTTTGAAACGATCAAAAACTTGATCCTTACTTTTCAGACAGTAAGCCCATACCTTTTGTGATGCATCATCGATGAATGTCACGAAATATCTGCTTCCTCCAAGTGAATGCTCTTCAATGGGCCCACATACATCAGAGTGGACAAGACCGAGTAACTCTGTATGGTTCTTCCAGGTAGAACTGAAGAAAACCCTGTGTTGTTTCCCGAATAGACAGTGCCCGCATGGATCTAGGGCAACACCTTTGCCCATGGAAATGCTTTCCTTCCTAGCAGGAGTTGTCAATCCCTTC